TTATATATTCATTTGGCGAATGAGAGAGTCCGTTACATAGCGATCAATTTATATATATTCGTCTGGCGAATGAGAGAGTCCTTTATATACCTATCAAGTTATATATTCATTTGGCGAATGAGAGAGTCCGTTACATAGCGATCAATTTCTATATATATATTCGTCTGGCGAATGAGAGAGTCCTTTATATACCTATCAAGTTATATATTCATTTGGCGAATGAGAGACTCCGTTACATAGCGATCAATTTCTATATATATTCGTCTGGCGAATGAGAGAGTCCTTTATATACCTATCAAGTTATATATTCATTTGCCGAATGAGAGAGTCCAATAGGGTCGATGGTCTAAAAATACCCCTTAAAAAAAACGTGGTAGCGCACATCTGCACATTGCCTTGATACTAGTGCACATAAAAAAATTCATTCCGCACATGGATAGAAAACATTAGAGGAAACATTGGTCCCTCATATGAGGGGGGGGGGTACTGCTGCCGGACTACTCTTCCTCTGATAACAAATTATAAATGGGGTTGACTTATGCCTGATCTTTAGAAGTCTCTGACCTGACCATTTAACCCGTGTGTCACGTGAGGGGTCAGAAGATTGAGTGATAATATGTTAACCGTACATCTGCCGTATCTAATGTCGACGAGGTCTTTCGTCCAATACCAGCGGACCCGGCATGGCCAGCTGGTTAGGGCGCTCGACTCGCAATCTGTGGGTTCGAATCTCCATCCCACCAAACACGCTCTCTCTTTCAGCCGTGGGAGCGTTATGATTTGACGGTCAATCTCACTATTCGTTGGTAAAAGAGTAGCCCAAGGGTTGGCGGTGGGTGGTGATGACTAGCTGCCTTCCCTCTAGTCTTACACTGCTAAATTTGGGACGGCTAGCACAGATAGCTCTCGTGTAGCTTTGCGCGGCATTCAAAACCAAACCAACACCAGCGTTCATCAGGCCGGTGGGGATACGGTCTATACATATCATCACTAGTTTCAACAACAACTGTTTTTCTGTTTGTTTGTTGTTGTCAGAATTTCTGGGATTCACGTGGCCTTCTCCAATTTCCCTTGTTCAATTCATGGAATGAATAGAAAAATGGGCCCGAGTTGTAGCTTCCTCGTAAACACCACCCGCTGTTTTGATAGCCTAGTTAGCGAAAACGTAATTTTTTTTTCTGTTGTAGACTTCATGGATAAAGAGGATACCTGAAGGTTTCGTGATGTTAGGTTTATTACACCTTTGTTTTACCACAATACCAGTTGTGGACCCCCTTTACCAGCGTGAAACTCCCGGGGTTTCTACTTGAACATTCTGTACATGCCATGCTTACAGAGCTACACATTCATCACTAAGTGCCTTGCTTACAGAGTTACACATTCATCACTAAGTGCCTTACCTACAGAGTTACACATTCATCACTAAGTGCCTTGCTTACAGAGTTGCACATTCATCACTAAGTGCCTTGCTTACAGAGTTACACATTCATCACTAAGTGCCTTACTTACAGAGTTACACATTCATCACTAAGTGCCTTGCTTACAGAGTTACACATTCATCACTAAGTGCCTTGCTTACAGAGTTACACATTCATCACTAAGTGCCTTACTTACAGAGTTACACATCCATCACTAAGGAAACGGTTTGAGTTACACATTCATCACTAAGTGCCTTGCTTACAGAGTTACACATTCATCACTAAGGAAACGGTTTGAGTTACACATTCGTCACTAAGGAAACGGTTTTAAAGCAAGTGTTTTTGATTAAAATAGCGTAACAGTTTTCTCACTGTCTCTACTTGTTCTTTGATTCATGTACGTGTTTAAACTTCTCAGTTGCACGTTAAATAACGAGAGTTACTTTTAATGAAGAGCATAACAGAGAAGACGTAAATCAATGAATTAAAAACTGGAACATTCATAGGATCCTAACTTACGCACGTGAAGATCCTCGGAGTGACATATGGTGGACAGACCCAAACGCCGACCACCCTATGTCCAGAGGGGGGGGGCTAAGTGTATATGTCATATTTGGTCAGTCGTTATTTATGATGGACTAAAAATGTTACTAATCAAGAATTGAAACATTACTTGTCAAGGACTCAGAATGTTACTTGTCAAGGACTCAGACGCCACTTGTCAAGGACTTAGACGTTACTTGTCAAGGACTCAGTAGCTTATTTGTAAAGGACTCAGACGCCACTTGTCAAGGACTTAGACGTTACTTGTCAAGGACTTAGAAGGTCACTTCTGAAGGACTCAGACGTTACTTGTCAAGGACTCAAAAGGTTACTTTTTAATGACTCAGTAATTTATCTGTAAAGGACTCAGACGTCACTTGTTAAGGACTTAGAAGGTTACTTCTGAAGGACTCAGACGTTACTTGTCAAGGACTTAGAAGGTTACTTCTGAAGGACTCAGTAACTTATTTGTAAAGGACTCAGACGTCACTTGTTAAGGACTCAGAAGGTTACTTCTTAATGACTCAGTAACTTATTTGTAAAGGACTCAGACGTCACTTGTTAAGGACTTAGAAGGTTACTTCTGAATGATTCTGTAACTTATTTGTAAAGGTATCAGACGTCACTTGTTAAGGACTTAGAAGGTTACCTCTGAATGACTCAGTAACTTATTTGTAAAGGACTCAGACGTCACTTGTTAAGGACTTAGAAGGTTACTTGTGAATTATTCTGTAACTTATTTGTAAAGGACTTAGAAGATTACTTCTGAATGACTCAGAGGCGAATCCCGGAAATGATGGTTAAAAAACGTTTGAAGACAATAACCTAGAATTCAGGATTTGTCCTCAGAATGTCAACTGAATTTTGTTTTATTTGTCAATTATCATCTAATTATTTTCATTAATCGTAGCTATTAATTTATTGGAAACAAATACAGAGAAAGTAAGTGATTTCAATATACAAATGCCCTTGAAACAATCTCGATAGAATGCTCGAGGCTTGTCCTTTAAGAACGCCTGACACAATAACTACCAGGAGACGCAGCAGTGATAGGATCAAGATCGGAGTGAAAAGTTAAGTATCTGGTGACGTCATGAAAGAACTTTCTAAGTTACCAACGGTAGCCGTCAAAAAACAGACACCTGGGTGAAAGTCTCCCGCAGATTTCAGTTAATTAAGCTTCCAGAGAAAGGAATAACAAAACGATCTTTGTGATTTGTCAAAACCTACGTCAAGATGCTTCATTAGACTCATACGTCTTAAACGATTTAATAAATACGGTTTAGACTCGAATCGATACAAATGACGTCGATGTTATTAATCTTCTGCCTGCATCCATATAAATAAATCTTATTTGTATTCTTCTAGCTTTCAGTGAAAGTTCATTAAAAGTGTGGTTGGAGATATTAAAGTAAAAATGATATCTATCGTTAATTTACATTTTTATTCTATGAGCATTTGTTCAACATTGTCGGAAACCGAACAAGATCACCACATACACCATCCAAGACATTTTGATTTATACTTAAGTGAGAACCTCTAACAAATGATTATAATTACATTTTCGTTTTACAACTTGCATCTCGCTGGTCAATAATTATCGTTATTGACCAGCCTGATGCTTCAAAGTCAACCTAATGAACGCTCTGCTGAGACTAATCTAGGATCAATTTCACTTTACGAATCCGTTTCGGAGTTGGGAACGCTTCCGCTTTAGATATTTGGAAACATCTAATTTATGGGATAACACACTTAATACGAAAGTACCCCACCATCGTTCATCACCACTTCTAGAACTTCGCTATTAACTTTCAGCGTTCGAAGAGCCAGAAGCTAAGCCTGCGGTAGGCCTAAGTGACCTTATTACCTTCTCCTATCGTATTTCAGTAACATGTAGTAAAAGACGAGGCTTATTGATTCGGAAAATGATGGGTGTTAGACCCATTTAAAACGCTACTGTACTACTTGGTTACCAACTTTTGCTCCTTTCTCTCATAAACATGCTGGCGTTAAAACTACTAGGAGGATTTAGAGTACCATGAGGGTTAATCACCAGAAAATTGACAGTGACTTTCAGAAGCTTACCATTTCTGGCTCGAGTGTATCCTCTTATCTTATAGTTTTTGTTAAATAATAATAATAATATCCGATCAGAGCAAGCTATGTGCTTAGAGAGGACTTAGAAACTAACCTTGCCACCAGTATATTTAATTAAACGTACGTTTCTTACATTTATACTTATAAAGATTATAATACACTGTTTGTGTAATTTAGTTGTTAACGACATTGTTGGCAGTAATCCCA